GCACAGAGGGAAAGCTGACAGAGGAAATTCACCAGGCTAACAAAGGGGTAAAACAAGGATGCTTAGTCACACCCTTACTTTTTAACTTTTATATTAATAATATTTTAACATCTTTGGGAACTATAAGATTGCAAGTCTCATATATGCTGATGACATTGTTCTATTATCCATGAACAAAAAGGGACTGAAACGAAGCTTAAATAAACTCCAAATGTTTAGCCACGTAGAGCAACTAAAAATAAATTACACAAAATCTAAAGTGATGATTTTTGGAAAGCACCCCCCCCCCAGTTTAGCTGGACTATAGGTGAAAACAAAATAGAACAAGTACAGACCTTCAAATACCTGGGAGTGCATTTCGATGTGAAAAACTGCTGGAAATCCCAGATACAGAGCATGAAAATATTGGTTCAGAAATCTAGCCATGCTCTGGTCAATTTTTTTCACTCTAAAGGCGGCAAACTAGTAATCCCAGCTTTAAAAGTATTTTCAGGGAGGGTCATCTCCCAAATGCTTTATGGAATTGAGATCTGGGGTATGAATCAGAACAACCTACACCATCCTGAATACGACAGAATAAATTTCTGAGACACATCCTTGTGGTACCCCAGGGGACTCCAGCAGCTTATTTTAGAACAGAGACAGGCATAGTATCCATCAAAGCCAGGGCAACTCTAGCTATACTCTCTTACTACATGCCCGACCACTGCCTACCCAAACGTTGTATGGCAGAGCAATGGAAGAGTGGCGGCTGGGCAACTTTAGTTCCAACCCTACTAAAATATAAATCCCACTCCACATATATTTTTGTTTTTTCTGGGGTTAAAAGAATGTTGAGACTGGTTCTAAAAATTGGATAATGACCAGGATCTGGCCTTAATTCACTCTTCAAATTTCTCTCAGTGGTACCATCTGCTGAAAACAAACCACTCAATGGCACAATACCTACATACACTTACTTTTATTTATTTATTTATTTGATTTATACCCCGCCTATCTGGCCCACCGGACCACTCTAGGCGGCTTTTTCCTCCTTGAGTACTGCATTCACAGAACTCCACTTCCAAACCATGCCAACCACTGTCTTAGATGGCAGGTATATGAATGTCCCTAAACATCTAAGGCTATGTATCTGCGGAGCAGGTGAGATAGAGGATGTTCTCCAGTATTTACTCTACTGTCAGCTATATCAACCCCCCCGAGAAAAGCTCCTGGGTAACATTTTGGCTGCTCTGCAGAAGGAAAGCTCTCAGGAAAAGGTGGTCAGGTTACTCTTGGACTGTGACCCTTATGTTACATATAGAACAGTCCTATTCGCAAAAGTGGCCAGAAATATTCAAGCTAATTTTCTGAAAGCCACTGCGATCAATTGTGTGGGAGATTCCCAGATATGAAGGGTCTCTTATTATTTTATATGTTTGTAATTTTATCATGATTTTATTTTACCATATCTGTATTTTAAACAATTGTGACATCCTTTAGCTAATACAGTAAGCTTGAACTGAAAAAAAAAGTATTCTTTTACTGTGGAGGTATCAACAACATTGTTTTTTTCAGTGGTTGCCCCTAGATTTGGTATATCTTCCCAAGGAAAGCCAGGAGGGGCTTCTCGTTTTTGTAATTATGTTGGCAGACAAAGACTTTTCTATTCAATCTGACGTTTGGCAAGTAACTGGCTGCCAAGGAGGAGGTTTTAATGGACAGATGTACTCTTACTTTTTAAAATGTGCTTTTAAACTTTGTTATCTTGTTCAGTTGTTTTAATGTGTGAAATATTTACTTTTTTAAAAAAAAATTGGCATAAAGTCCCAGTATCTTGGTTAATGAAGCCAAACATAATTCTTATCTTGGGAAATTTTTATCCAGCCACAAGAACAATTTTAAATTTTTTCAAAAGAATTTACCTTGGCCCAAAGGGTTTGATAATAAAAAACATACAAAGGCAGGAAAAGAAGTCATCATCCCTAGCCTTCAACTTTGAAAGTACAGTAAAACTTTTGCTGTCTAACACCTTTTGAGCCAGTGGTCAGAATGTTAATTACTTTCTGATGCAGATAAGGACGAATATGATCAAATGAACAAAATGAATTATTTTAACATAATTGCATCCAAGTTTTTATAAAACAATAATTATCTTTCATAAGACTACCTCCATTATTCATTATTACTGTAATGTTTGATTTACTTTGCTTTTGATTCCTCTACTGAGCTAATAGGTGATCTGGCTGTTTGGCTCATACCTTAATTTAGATAACTGACTGAAAAAAAGCATGAATAACTGATTGGAAACAAAAGTATTGTTTTTACCTGCCGCTCAGCTACCAGCTTCTCTAACTTTGGTGGACAGTGACAGATCTGTATGTTGAGATATGGCAGATACATCATCCACAAACTGGTAGAGCAAGTTATCCAATTTTGGACATTTCTGATAAAGTTATGATATGAAATACTTGTAAGAGAAGCAAGCAAAACATAAAAATTCAGTGCCCAGAATCATATTACATATTTATCCTACCACAACTCCATTGTCATGAATTTCACAAACTAATTGCTAGAAGTTGAGAACTTGGTATAGGCATTTGCTCTAATACACTGAATCACATGACTGTAGTGTAAAAAAAAAAGATTGCAAATACCTACATTCACTTTTAACTTTAACTTGCAGCAATTTGCTGTTGAAACTCATGCCAAAATAATTATGCCAGTGGATATAACTAACAGGATCCTGGCCATATCAGCAAAGTTGTGCATGCAGATTGAGAAGATTGCAAATATGAAATATGCCTCCTTTGCATCAAGCTAACTTTATTAGAAATAAACACACACACACATCTATTATAGGGATGTAAATAATCACTTTTCTCAGTCTTATGTACTATAAAGAAAACCCTGAACATTTATTTTCTCACCTATGACATGACAACATATTGTCGTTTAATTTACATAACAAAGAAATCCTTCTCTAACTCACATTGCAGGGGAGGAATAACAGCCTAAATCAATGAGAATGAGAAATTTAGCAAGTATTACTCATATCTTTAATATATTACAAATGAATGAAAGATGTACAACACACCAGACTTTTAAAAAAATTGTTGTAACACTTACAAAACTATGTAATTGTCTGTAGATAGGTTTGTAAGCCAAGCTCTGTTCAGTTATTTGTTCATCTGAACATGTGTAGGACTAAATAATTAGGGTTTGGGTGTGAGGGCACACCCTGTCCCTAGAGTCCTTACATACATGATAGCATCTTCATGAACTGAGCGCATAGGTATTAAAAGGACTCTGTAACTGCATTCAGCTGAATAGACCTAAAGAGATTCCATGGTCATGAACCCAGCCTTATCAGAGTTCCTTACCGTGGGAAATCTGAAACTACATTCACCCCTCTAATCTTTCACACTGGACATCTATTATACTCCTGGGCAAAAGGGGGAATTTTAGGATGGAGTTCATATACATGCGTATGCTGAACAAGTTGCCATATGGATAGATTCCGAAACAATTCTGGCTGCCTTCACAATTTGGTTTTCTAAAGAGCCCAAGTACAAAACTTGTATATGTACCTACATTTTATAGTTTCTCACTTGAATAATTTCTGATACCTGCCCTGCTTGTTGTGGAAAAAACAGGGATTTTCAGAACACTGCCTAAGGAATTAAAAGAATGAATTCTTCTTCTGTATCTTTCCTCTATTTTCTTGTACCATTTGCCAAATGAGGATTAAACACACAAATACACTGCATTTAAAATCCTGTTGGCATACTCTCATTGGCAGATTGTGATCCTCTCATTTTTGGGTGAAAAATCTATATTGCGGTTATTGGAAGCCACAAGTTTTATTTGATCCTAAAAAGTTAAGCTTGATTACACTTATCTTGCAGTAGACCTGCAGACTCTAATAATTAAAAAGCTGGAAGTAGGGAGTTATCATTTACCAAATAAGTAAGGAGAGTCCTAGAGAGTCAGCAAGACGGGGCATAAGACCTGTAATCTGACACATGTGAAAGGCACAAGACTAAGGAAAGTTGTACTAAGGTGGTTTCAAAAGGAATGTAACCTATGAACTAAATGAGTACATTATAGTAAGAATGTGAATCTCACAATGTAGTAAATTCATACCTACCACAATCTGAAAATGGGAGAAAAGTCAATGTCACACAAATAGAAGTCCACTTGTACAACAAAATTTTCTCCTTTGCTCTTCCCACTGCAGCCCTGTGATCCTAAATCTAGTGTATACCATGTGCCCTCAAATCTGAGTCTGCCAACCCAACAAGGTCATGCAATGGAAGAGTGGGAGTCATCTTCTCCCTTGTATTGTGGAAGGAATCATATTTGTCAGCAGAAAACCTTCCCTGCATTCCATTCACAGTCTCTTTAACATCGGTGTCTTAATCTATGCGTAAGACACGATCATGGAAAATAACATCTCTGCTTCTTAGTTGTTAATATTTTTAGCTTGATCAGACTAGTTGCATCAGCCGCATAAATACAGTTTCATTAGTGTAACGATTTACTGCAGGGGCTCATTAGTTAAATTTACTTTAAGTTAGGAAATGGCATAGCTTTACATAGTTTGGTCCAAAGACAAGATCCAACATTTAATGCTATGATTTAGTAGAGAATTTAAGTGCTATATCACATACACTGAAAGTCTGACTACATGGACTGTCTATTCTGCTATTTGGATGCTGCAAGAACAGGCTGGAGCACTCTTAAAGATGGTGACCAGATGATGTATTTCCTAGAGCACACCAGCTTGCCCCCAGAGTGTTCCTACCCTGACTTTTATGGTCCCTGTCAAAGAGTTTCTACTTTTAAAATGAAGGTAGGATTGTTCTGGTTTGCATTGGTTCCAGCATGTGTCATCACTGGAATTGATCCAAAGCAAGCCTTCCTCTTTCCATTTGTCAGTATCTTGAAGTGGCTTAATAAGCAAGCCCTTTCAGGATATTGAAAAATTAAACATTTCTCCTAAAATACCTTTCCCTGATTTTTTAAAAAATATCAGCTAATTTTTTTTAATTGCCTCAGAGGGCTAGTTGAAAAACCACCCACAGTCGAATCTATGGCAGTGCCTTTGGCTGCAGGCAGTTTCTCAACTGGCCATTTAAGAGAAGGCAAGGGAAAGATTTTTAATTTTTTCTGCTAAGTAGTGAAAGTGATTAATTTGCCAATATCCTGAAGTAGCTCACCAATTAAGCCGCTTCACAATATTGGCAGGAGTCATTTCCATATGAACAGTTAGGCTTGATTAGATTCTTCTAGTCAAGTCTGACCATTCATAGGCAGCACACACTAGCTTCTCCCTGGTTCTAGTGTAGCCATACCCTAAGATAAACACAAAGCACAGTTACAGTGGCACTGTAGACCACTGTGATAACAGCAATTAAAGACATTATCATATGTTTTATAGAAAAAATTGTATGCAGAATCTCATTAATAATATATAACTGCAAGCAGGAAAACAAGATCAGAATTGATTGATGTCATGAGATCAGCAAGCCATATTAAGCATTTGCATGCTAGAAGAGTAGTCCTGGGCAGAAGTTCCAAGGATCTGGCAGCTTTACCATTTGTGGAAGATAAATATGCTGCATATATTTGCCTTTGACAAAATACTATGTTATTTATTCCATCTCCTCCCAAGTAGGAATTAAGGATTTTAACCACTAGCAAAGCACAGCATTGGAGACACAGAGAAGCTAGATGACATGATGTTCTTCTGTCACTACAGATACAATGCAAATATTTTGAGAAGAGACCGACATTTTCTACTACCAGTTCTAAATATTTATTCACAATAACTCTATTCTCTCCTGAAAGACTGTTGTAAATGATTTTAAATTCTTAAGCCAAAGGCAAAAAACTGCAAACAACTGGTGTTCTTGTAGCTTGCAGCTATACATGTGCCATGTAATGACAGAATTACCATGGTAATAATCTCTGTTTAGTAAACAATGTGAAGAAAATACACTAGATAATAATAACACAATTTAGGCAGATGCATAGTTACGTTGTAACATGTTTTCTCTTTCTGGAATCTAGAAGTCAGACCATCTTTTGATCAAAAGATAACAGCACATTCTAGCCAATGACAAGTATACCCAACTTCTCCAGACTAATTTTGTATTTGGGCAGGAAATTGTGCAGCTCTGTTGAACCCACTTCCTTGTTTCATTACATTTCATTGTAGCTTTCCCAATCACCGTCTCTAGTCCCAGGAACCAAACTTGATGACTTCCAAATTATTTAGTGCAGAACTGAAATAACAAAGGATGTTAATCTTACATTTTTTTTTCTAAAGATGCATTTGAAACTGCTACTGAAATTCTCTTATCAGCAACTTTTAAAAGTGGAATTATACTGTCATCTTTTTCATCTGGCAGAACTTTCCTTGATGAAGAGGTGGAGGCTGTTGGATAACCCCAGCAGCAGTGGCTACAATTAATTATCTTCTGGCACACTCGAAACAAAAAGCAGCCAAATGCTTTTAGAGTCTCTGCCTCACTAGTTCTGACCTCTTGTGGAGCACAACTGCTGCCAGACTATAGATTTCTGCTTCACATGCATAGCCAGGTCATGACCAGAAAAGCAGATATATATGCTCTTGAAGTATTAGAATGAGATTGTACCCACTTGGTCCATGAGCTGCCTTTGTTGGTTTGTTTGGAGATTCAAGAAGTCATGATTGAAATCAGACTCCTCATTAACTTGTCTCAACTGCTGCTTGCTCCTCTTAAAAATATTGAAAGATCCTCCTATGCAATGAACTCTTCCTGCTTCTTATTCGTGGTTGATTCCTAGGTGGGAAGGCAGAGGAGATTTAGATGGAAATTATTTATCTTGTCTTACATGAAATTTGAATTCTAGTTTAGGATCTAATGCAAACACAAAAGCATAATGCAGCAAAATGGAGGGGGAAAGGGCTCTCCCCTTTCCAGTGCAAATCTCTGTACTGAAAAAGCCTACTCCAGAGGGCTGGAAAACTCTTTGGAGATGGTTTTCAGAAGGCTCTTAGGTGCAAAGGAGCACAGTTTTGCAACATTTTAGTTAGCCAAACATAACAATCACTTCCTTTATGCAATGTTGAAAACAATGATCTGAACTGTCAGGAGACATGCCAGATAATATGATGGAACTCACCTCACAGGATGCTTAGCCTCCATTTTATGCAAGGAGTATCCACACATAGCTCTCTAGAAATCTGCCATGTGTCATAATTTCCTCCATTTCCAAAATTCAAGAAGAGAGTGCCATTGCTAATGTAACCAAAACAGCAGTACTTGTATGCAATAAGGAAAAAAAAGAACAAGTTTGTGAGGAGCTCTGATTTGCATAAGTACAAACTATGGGGGGGGGAAAGATTCCTAAAACAGGAAATAGCTAGGAACAGCCCAATGATGAGCAATCGTGCTCAATATGTAGTTGGCTTTGGAATACAACTTCTCAGGGGGAGAAGACAGAAAAAACAAAACAGAGTATCATGGAGGATGCCCTGGCCTGATACATCAAACTGATACACTTTTCTTTTCTCAGTTCACAAGATGATCCTGTGCCGAAGTGCAGGTAACTTACACATTAACCTCTTCCCTGAACTCGAAGTTAAGTTCAATCTTATTTTCCATACAATTTTAATGGGGATTTTTAGGCTGATATGTTTAACAATGAAGTTAGACTCTAAATAGAATGACTTTTTTCTTTCAAATTTTATTGTGCTGAATAATTTTCTATGAACTTTGCCTGCTTATCTATAGCTGTTCAATTTTAATTAAGATAAACATAAAGGCAAAGGTTTCCCTTGACATTTAGTCCAGTCGTGTCTGACTCTAGGGAGCGGTGCTCATCCACATCTCCAAGCCATAAAGCCAGCATTTGTATAAAGACAGTTTCTGTGGTCATGTGGCCAGCGCGACTAGACACGGAATGCTGCTACCTTCCCACCCAGGTGGTACCTATTTATCTACTTGTATTTGCATGCTTTCAAGCTGCTAGGCTGGCAGGAGCTGGGACAAGCAATGGGAGCTCACTCCGTTGCGTGGATTCGATCTTACGACTGCTTGTCTTCTGACCTTGAAGCACAGAGGCTTCTGCGGTTTAACCCACAGCGCCACCACGTCCCTCAGGGGCAGTTTAACCCACAGTGCCACCCACATCCCAACATAAAAAGGGGCAGTAAAAATCTATCCACTAGCTAGCCCTATAAATTAGTATAGCAGAGGAGTTAAAATCTGTGTTTTAATAACTCCAGCTGTAGATGGACCATACAAATTATGAATGTTTCCACATATTTTATCATAGATGAATAGCACACAAAATAGCTTTGTAATTGATATTATTTTTTGGAAGCCAGCACACCATTTTTTATACAGTTAATTATGGGGTGAGAGAGGATAGGGATCCTACGCTGGAATAGTTACAGTAGAAATGCTGGGTTTGGTTTAAAAACTAGTTAAAAACTACATTTTGTGAGATAGGAAGTATTCAATACCATGGATTATAAAGAGATCTGATGATGTAGCTCACCATGGTTTCCATTTTGCAGATGGGAATCTAAAGATACAGCAAGTTACTCAGAGTAATACAAGAGGTTTTTAGTTAAGTGTTTAGATTTCAGATTTCCAGATGTGAGTCCAGTGCTAATCTATTTCCAGCTAACTTTCAGAAAAGATGTTATTATAGCAGGTAGAAAGTAAAGAAGCAGTGAAGTTTGGTCTAGAGATAAACAGAGCAGAAGAAACTAGATGTTTCACACACTAAATAATTTATAACAATCTTAGATTGCAGATGCAAGCATAGCTAACTAAAATGGCATGCTTGTAATTGTCCATGCATTCTTAACATCTGTTCCTCCATTGTGCTCCATTCTATCCACAAAATGAAAAAAGGCAGAAACATACTGAATAAAATGTTGTTTTGTAGAGTGATTTTTACTATTTCTATTCAAGCTCGTTAACTCTGAAGTAGTTTACTTAGCAACATGGGAAGCCAAAGACAGACTTCAAAAATGCTTAACATACAAAAATTAAGCCTAAAATAGACAAAATGATACATTCCACTTCCTGGTTCATAGGCAGGTAGATGTACAGAGGCAATCTTGGTGTCTGATGCAACCCTTTCTGTTTCAATATTCTAAAAGTTTTAAAGTCAGCTTTCTACAAAAATGTGACTTTTCAATCATTCTGCAAAAATCCTTTTCTTTCAAGAAAAAATGTTCATTTCAGAGAACACCTAATCTTCTCACTATATAAAATTAATCAATCAACACCTTTCCTGTGTTTCCAGTATCAAAGACATGGTGCAATTTCCTTCTGTTAGCTAAAAATTGGGATTTCACTCTCTGTTTCTCCATGCAACACAGATGACAAATTATGATCATTTTTATAACAAATGATATAAAAGCATTATAAAGTATATGTATGTGCATGCATGTACTGAAGCAAACAGAACTACATCTATTTACATGTTGACAAGGCAAAATCCTCAATTAACTGCAGTACTAGATTAGTTCCACCTGGCTTATGGCTTCATCATTAAGAAGTAATTCTTAAATCTGAAAAAATCATTATACTAGACATACTGCCTCTAGCTATCTTAGTGTTTGTACAGCACATAGAGAACAACCATCATATATACAGTATTGGTATTTATATAATACTGCTTACAAATTGGCTTATTTTTGAGCCACTTCTTTTCTCAAAGTCAGAAAACCCATAAGAGTTATCAGGAGAGAAGTCATTCCCTAGGCCCTAGTAATTGTTTCATGGATATTTTCCTCCTCTCTGTACTCTCATTTGTTTACATCCCAAGCTGCTTATTTCTCCCAGAAGAATGTGTTAATACTTCACACCTCCATTTATCTATGTTTGGAAAATGCACAGAGTCAGTGCTGTAGTTCAGTTACTTTCCATGGTCCACCCTCCTTCTCACTATTATGAAGGTATCTGTTAAGATTCCTTTAACATATTACACTGAATTGTAGATTACTTTCAACTATAGTTTTATACAGCTGTGCTTTCAGAAAAGTCTTGGTAGAAACCAGAATTTTCCCATGATGAACAGAAGAATATGCTACACTTCCACTTAAGAGTGTCTCAAACATATGTAACACTCACAATTGATGTCTCTGATGAGCTGCCTCTAGATAACAAGCAGTGTCAAGGAAGCTGTTAGAGAAAAGACAATTTTCTTCAGAAACTGGAAGCCTTATCCAAATAAGAATTTTAAAAAAGAATACAAGCTTGCACAAAGGAAATTTAAACAGATCACAGTTTAGAAATAACATCTTCTGAGTACTACATAGTACATTTTAAAATAAGGAGGACTACTTTTTTCAAAGTTCTGTTACTTTTTTATTTCCAACAATAAGAAACTCCAATTCTGGTATAGATATTATGCTGCAAATATTACTTTTGGGGAGCTGCAGCCTTTTAAATGTGCTCATAAATAATGATCTATTGTTAGGGATGAATAGTGCCGTGGGCCAAGTTTGCTGCCAGTGCCAAACTGAGGTGATATATATTGAAGCAAAAAATCACTACATCACATATAGTTGTTGTAACATTCACATCCCACTGTTCCATTACTAGATAGTGTTCAAAGCAGCTTGAAATCATAAAATGAAATAAAAACAACCACAAACAGTTGCTTGGATCCCTCTGGAAAAATGATGGGATATAAAATGAATCAATCAATCAATTAAAACATACAATTCTTAAAATCAAACAAACCATGAGTATGAAAACATTAAAATAAATAACTCTACAGTTAAAATTATCCCAATACCGTGTTTCTCCAAAAATAAGACAGAGCCTTATATTAATTTTTGCCCCCAAAAATGCATTAGGGCTTATTTTCAGGGGATGTTTTATTTTATAGTCATGTCATCTTCCGGTTGCTGCACAGTGGTGGAGGGTGGGGTTTCACTTAACTAGGGCTTATTTTTGGAGTAGGGCTTATATTACAAGCATCCTGAAAAAATCATACTAGGGCTTATTTTCAGTTTAGGCCTTATTTTGGGGAAAACAAGGTACATATACTTAGATGAGACCAGAGCTGGCATTCTGATAGCTGGATGAAACATTGAACTGCTCTATGGCTGCTGTAAAAAAAAGAAAATTCCATGTTTGACACAATTCGAAAAGAAACTTTAAGAATTATCCAAATCATACTACCCTTACAAAAGTCCTCAAAAAATATACAGTATTGTAGAATGGAATAGCTGCGGAAAAGGGCAACTGAAATTATTAAAGGTCTAGAAGCAATTCCCTTGGGTAAAATGATGCCAGCTTTGGGAGCTGATGAAGCTATAAACAAGTGAACAAGTGAGACACAATAGAAATATATAAATAATGCATAGTGTGGTGATAGTGGATAAGCAGATTTTGTCCCTTTCTCATAATGCTAGAATTTATGATCACCTGGCTCTAGTGAGCTGGATACTCAATTTACTGACCTTGGAAGGATGGAAGGCTACCAGAGTTTGAGCCCAGCTTATGAGTAGAGTTTTGGCTACAGTTTAACCATTGTGCCAGAAGGCTCTTCACTGAAGGCAAACAAAACTGGGCCAGACTTAAAAGCACTTTACTTATTCTACCTACCTGTGTCTGCTCACAATAATATAATCATAATATAGCTCACAATAATAGAATCATAATATATGAATGTGATTAATAGCTCACAATAATATAATCATAATATATGAATGTGATTAGCTGAGTAAATCTGTTGCAGAAAGAGGGGCTATTATGAACCAAAGGGAAAAGAAAAGATACTCAAATTGTAGGTATTCATGACAGTAAACAATGGAGTGCTGCTGCTTTAACTGGAATGACAATCAGGAGAAACAGTTGTGTGTCAGGTGATATCTCTCTGCAGTGCTATCCTATAGAAAAATTGGATTGGATCTTCTGTCAGGACTGCCATAAACAGTTTGTATTGTATACTGGTGTGAGTAGGAAAAGAGGAGATATTTATGAAATGTTCCCCTCATTTCAGCTCAGAACAGCGCCTCTTCTTAATGACTGACACCTTTTGGTATTTTATGCAGCGATTATGCATAAAACATGAAATGTGTGAAACTTAGAGACCTAAGAATATTGAACTCTGCTGCCTAAAAGAAAAATCAGCCAGATTTTTTTACTGAATCATTTAAATGGTTCGATCATGTTTTAGTTCAGGTAACACCTTATACATACAGGACCATTTAACACTTTAAATTATCAAATTACTTTTGAAATTTCTGGGCATCTTGAATGAACACTGAAAACAATGAAAATAAAAGCAACTGCTGCATCACATGGGGAATCTGCTGAAGAAAACATACACTATTTCCTGAATGTCATGGCACCAGTATAGTAGGAGCCATGAGCACAGAAAGAAAACATATGCAGCATCTTGAACTTACTTATTCTTTTAGGAGTGGCTTATCTTACCAAAGTGACAACATGCTGACCTGGCTACTAAAGGAGTGTGCCACTCAGCACACAGCAGCTTCTCCTCTTGGAGGAGAACTACCTGTAATTTATCCCTGCCAGTTTCAATTTAGGAAGACTAAGCTAAAGATCCCTTTGGTTGTCAGGTCAGATTGCAACTCCTGCGCTACTAGAGGAAGGGCTGCACCACCTAGCCTCATGAACTCCACTCAGTTGAACTCAGAAGGACTCCCTGGGCATAAAAGAGCATTTGTGTGATTCCATCCCTGTCCCACCGATACAATAAACTTTCTCTCTGTCATGCCTCATCTTGCTGAGTCAGCTTCAGAAAATTAGCTGGACTTCATGTAGTTGGGGTAGGGTGGTATGGAAGGGGAATTCAATGCTCCAGCAATCAATTATTGTTCTGAAAGCTGCACTATCAGTAGAGAAGTATCAGAACAGGGAAAAAGTCCAGCAGATGTCAGGCTCATTTGTTCTAAGGAGAGACATAGGTTGAAAAAGATGAGAGCAAAAGCATATCCAGCATTTCAAGGTCTTCTGAGTGCTGACTGGAATCAGCTGGACACTGTGGGGGGGGAGGGGCGTTGGCACTGGGAAGGTACAAGCCTTGTGTGTGCTCCCATCAGACCTTTTGTGTGAGACAACATGGAAGTCACCTTTCATCTTCTACTCTGTGCTGCCTGCCCAGATTCACAGAACCTTTGACAAATGAACTGCTGACAACCTTGCCTATGCCTGTTCCTTTTGTGAAGGTGATTGATCTATTTGGATTGAACTGATGGCTTGTCACTTAGACAGTACTGACCTCCTTTTTGTGAATAAGGACTGGCTTAAGATGATGCAGCTCTAGCCCTTACTGCCTCACACATCAAACAACTGCATCAGTGATTGTCAGTTTTCATTAGGACCCAAAGAAGGTAAGTTCAGGAGGATGTGGTTGGCTTAAAATGTCTTATGAGCAAAACTGCAACCTGAACAATGTAAATTTAGCTACATAGTGTCAACAACAGAATATAGTAATACAGTCTTTTGATTGGATAACTTTTGTCACGAAGGGGATTAAGTGGCATGTTTCCTGCTTATTCCTCTCTGTACTGATGTTTGATCTATTTGAGAGGGCTGAGATTATCTTCTCTTGCATCATGGGATAAGATAAACCTGGTAAAATTGCTACCCTATCTCTTTCCACTAGGGAGTTGCTGTTGGATCCCAATTCCTTCTGCAAATAGACGGAGCAATTCCATTTATATGATGTACAGTACATATACAAAAAATGTAAAGAACCTGAAACTCTTCCTCCCCCACTAACACTACATATGTTCATAGACCAGAATCTTGTTGGTGATTTACATGTACATAAATTAAATTGTATAATTTGGTGCCACCAAGTGCATGTTCATAATGAGACTGGCATTATGTCAGCAGCAACTAGCTGCAGGGTCTTACATAATTTAATCTACACACAGGTAAGCCACCAAGATTTTGGGCACAGTATATTAAGAGAAATGTGGCATCATTCTAAACAGCACTTAGTTTTTTCACGTCTATCATTATGAGGTCAGTATGATCTAGCTATACATCTGATTGTATTATTGTGAAGAAGTAGTTTGAGAATGCATGTATTATTGTGAAGAAGTAGTTTGAGAATGCTGAAGTATTATATGAATATAAATATTGTTAAGTAACTGCATATGTTGCTCAGTAGCTCTGTGCAAAATCAAAGCTATCAAAGTATAAATTGAGGGGGGACACAAACATATCACTTTTCTGTTAATGAATATTGGAAGACTGCAAACTTAAAATTTGCCGTTAATTCAGATTAATATGTAAAACACCTATTATACCTCACTTCTCTTTGTTATTTCTGATCTACAGTTTCTCAAGCAGAGGTGGTGGTACATGGATTTCAAATCTGATAAAGAATATAATACAGTAGTCATAATTTACTATAGTAATAGTTCAGACTGGGTCTACACAGTATCCCTTTTCAGCAAAAGAGGGAAACTCCCTCCCTGCTGCTACAGAGACAGGGAATTATCAGCAACATGGCCCCTTCTCTTTCATGAGCTGAAGTATCTTCTCTTCACACATGGGGCTCCCTAGATCCTGCTCATTATTGACTACAATAAATACAACATTACACATTAAACTGCTTGCTAATAATTAACTAGAGCAGATGGTTAATACAACTATCTGTATACATCCCTTCAAATACTAAAGGTTTTAATTGCATAGAATTTGTTCACAACACACTATCATAAAGATAGAGCTTTTCCCTTTGGGTGCCTGTGTTTGTTTATGTTGGATCATATGTTAACAAAGCTAATACTGTACCCTTCACATGAATGCCAGTTATATCAGATTTCAGAAATAAAGTTACACTGTCAGTCTTTAGTTATCTACAAAAGTGCTTGCTTTTACTATCAAGTTATCCTAAATCTGTTTTCCAACCCTTTTCAATTTGCATACCCCTTTTATAATAGCCACGTAACCTGTGAACCCCTTCCAACTTGTATAAAAAGGAATTTTAATATGGTAAATAAACAGATTTTGTTCCTATAATTTATTTCTAATCTGTTAATGTTAATGTACTGTATTAATGGGCCTGTAAATCTGCTTCTACCAGATAAAATTTGAGAAGGAAAACTTTTTTCAATAAACTTTGAGTTTCTATCTCTTCACTCCAAAAAAGCCCCCTCAGTGAAGAGCCCCTCCCCCTCAAGCCCAAATGACTATCTCACCCACAGCCCCCACACCTACTCTCCCTGATTTTCGTCCCTCATCTTTTTGTCCCTCTTGCCTTCCTCCTCCATGACTCAGGCAGGACCTGGAGGTATTGCCTGCCCCAGGTCCCCTCTCCACTATGCTGCCAGACACAGCAAGAGGTGCCATTGCCAGGACAGCAACAACTTTTCAATCCTGCTGCCATCTTGGGCATCAGTATTCCTGCAATGCACCATATTCTTGCCTCATTTAGGCCTCTTTGAGATGGGCTAATGCTCGGGTCTGAAGGGCTGACATCAGTCCTCCAAAGGTTGATGTGGTGGAGCAGAGTGAAACGAGTGAGAGCAGCTCTTTTAGAGGGGGTAGGAGTGATGGGCATAAAAGGAAAATCTGCCCAAAGGGGTACAGAAATAACTAAGAACTCTAAATTGCCTGAAATTCTGGTTCAGATTAAATTTATCTGTGGGCCAAGAGGATTAAAATAAAACAGGATTGTGTATGCCATATTTAATATAATAAATATAAAAATAATTGCAACTAAAAATAGTTGTGGTGACCCTCCTGAAAACACTTCACAACTCCCTTGAGGGTCATGGGCCCCAGATTGGGAACCTGTGCCCTAAATGTTCACTCTAGTTACTAGTATACTACCTCTAACATGTTAAGGTCTATTTGCCAGAAGAAAAGCATGGGACACTTGAACTGAGCTATCCCTAGGTTACAAAGCTGTCAATCAAAACAAGGTCCAGAAACTATAAAGTTCTCTTAGTTTATTGTAGGTAAAGCTTGTATACAATAGATATACTTTAGAATCCAATATAATTTTTTAAAATGTTCAAAAGAAGCCACCTCAGAGAAAGACTATGAAAAGCAAGGAAAGTCAGGAGTGAAGGGTTCCCTGCTTACCACTTTAGCACTCTATATTTTCTGCCAATACATTTTACCCTCAAAGTGATGTAAGTTTATATTAGGATAACCGTGCCTTTGGGTAACTAGATGGAAAGCCATAGAGCTGGAGGTAGTGGTGAGATCTGGACAGAGTTGTAAAAGACTAAGCACCTCTTGAAGTTTTCTTGTCTTAATCATTCTCCTTCTGGAACTGCTTTAACAAGAAAAGTCACCCAGGTTCCAATATTGTGATTTTATATACAGTACTGTACTATGAAAACATCTCACTGCCAGATTCAGACAAAACAGTTGAACTACAATACTAACAGGTATGCATAATGAAATCTCTTACAAAAACACAACATAGCTGCATAAGCATGACCAACTTATATTTTACTGGTCTGTTGACACCCCCTGAGTATTTTTTTAAATTTACTTATAAAATAAACCCTTTAAGCCCATATCCTTAAAGATGACAAGCATCTGTTCTGAAAATAGAGTACAAATATAGCATTTCTTCCTTTATTCCTCCTTACATTTCCCAAAAGACAGAACCATCCCATTTTCCCCAAACAGAGGGGTGTGTCCCAGCTTTAGGCTTACAGTGGAATCAGTCTCACTGAGCACAGTGGAACTGACTTCAGGCAAGGGATTATGATGTTAAGACTGTAGCCCATGAACTATTTGAAATGCTTTTGACTAAATATACATAGAATGATAGCAACTGTCATTGTATTTTCCCAAATTATTCACAGCAGGCTTTTCCAGTTAAAGGAAAGGGGGCATACCTCTAACTGGAAAAACTTTCTGTAAACAGTTCTAGAAAATTGGTTTAATTCTATGCATAGGGGATGGAAAGGGCAGACTTATGCAAAAATGAGAAGTCACTAATGTGAATAAAATAAGCTCTGCAGCTGTGCAAGCTGTGCATCAACTATAATGGGCTGATGGAAGATGTGGTCAAATGGTGGAGAAAGGGCAGTTGAAGGCCTGTGGTGGGGAGGTTAGTATGAAGTGGGGAAAAGTGAAGGGGCAGGTGAAATCATCCACATCTGAATAATGGGGAATGTGCCTTTCTATATGTGCAGTCTGAGGCAAGCGGTATAGTCTTAGAGTGGCGCTTTTGAATACTGTACATTGAAAGTGGAATTAGATTGATAGTACCTAATTCTCATGGTAATCTGGATTTAAAAATTTTTATTTTGAGTTTTATGGATGTAACATTTTTCTTTTATTGTTTTTCTATTTATTTTCAATGATTACTATGATGGTTCTCTTTGTCCTGTTATGCAAGGTGTTGAAATGTTGCATTTAGGATTGATTCTATATCTGCTGTCTTTTTGTCATTAACAATTTTCAAAACTTAATTATTTAGGAACAACTTTTTTCTGACTGCAGGAATAGTGGTTTTGGTTTCTTTTCTGACAATATCTCCGGTTCCAGTTCACAATTCTTCTGTTTCATGGTCAATTGAGTGTAGTAATAAAAGGCTATTATTTATATGGTCTTTGGGTTCTTTAGGAATATTATTTGAATTATATTTTGGTACTAAAATTATGCAGTGTTCTTCGGGTTTGCTCTCATTTTTGGAGATTAATTTACATAGTCTGTATCACGGTTAGTTCCAGAGATTCTGTACAACTATACAGATGATTTGATTTCTATATTGGCCATCCATTAATATCCATGTGTATTATTAGATTGCCTGAAGCATGTATTCACAATAAAAATACTGATTGAAAAGAATTCTGTGAGTCATTTGTTTTGTTTCTCCAAATTCTCCAAAGACATTTGGTTCTTTTTTATTTCCCACTTTTGCATTCAAGTCATCCATGATTATCAGCTGTTCCTGTTTTGGTTTTCCTCCTGGACACCTGCATAAACATTTTCAATTTCTCTTTCAGTATCTCTAGTTGGAGTACAGTCTTGAATAATTTTCAAATTATTCATGTTCAGCTGGTTGTTGAATTATAGCCCCTAACTGCTTGTGATGTCTTATCTCACTATTAGAGTCATATTCATTCTTCTTAGTTTGTCATTTCCTGAGTACAGCATTTTGTCTTTATCTGATTGAAAATGACTTACAGCCAACTTCAGTTCACTAAGTCCTAGCATTACAGTGTTTAAACAGTCAATTTCTTGTTTTGTACTGTTAAGATCATCCTTCTCACATTCCAGTTATATTCCTCACAGTCTTCGATTTTCCTTTTGTCTCTGCAAACACCAAGAATTAGATGTCTTTTCACCTTTAATCCAGCTTCTTCATTACCAACAGTGCTATTTGTACTTACACTTGGCTCTCCTCAGCAGTGTGTTTTCCCACCTGAAAGTGCCATCCTCTAGCACTATTTCCCCCCCCCCTTTGGATGCACACCTTAACTTGGTGATAGAGTATGATGGTAGTTGAGAAGAATACAGTACTGGCAACGAGGCGAGACACTGTTTTGAATCAAGACTTCTGACAGCTATCAAACCTACAGTTCAATGCATTCCAATGGGGGGGGAATTCACCAAAAATTAACGAAGACTCAGAACAAAGCCAAATTAAGTTTGCAAAGGTTTTACAGGGTGCACTAACGATTCCAAGCATTTTAAACAGTTTTTGAACATTTTAAGACACACTTAAAATAGTGAAAATGGACATCGCTAAGCGAAACAGGGGGACCTAAACTGTCATCGCTAAGCGAAGCAAGGTCCTGAACATCACTATGCAAAATTTCCCCATTGGAAACATCGCTAAACGGAGCGCAAGATCACTCAAAAACCTCATCGCTAAGCAAATACATCGTTAAATGAGGCAATCGCTAAGCGAGGCACCACTGTATTTGGTTTATCAGGAAAGTCACACAGAGATGTGCTGCAAAGAATGACTTTCAGAACCCCATCACCTCCATAGTTACCTACTGTTTACTTGCAAAACCAGTAAGAAATGTTGTTAGACATCATCTATGGTGTTAAAATATCTCACACTTGCTTCTGATTATGTGTGAGCAAAATTTTTCTCTAGGCAAAAGAGGAAAATTTACTTAGCCCTTGAAGCAAAGTTTTAAAAAAAATCACATAGTTCTTATCTTCTTGAGCCTGTTAGCTAAACATTTTTAAAATGCTAACTTAGGAAGATACTGTAGATAATTGCATACTCCCAGACTAATGGCATACTTGAAGTAAGTGTTTATTCCGCTACAGAGACCTTTTTAAAAATCTTTCTATCATCCCACTACCATCATAATCCTGAACATAACCTTCTTATCAACAGCCAGTAAGTGTTTGTGAGAAAAGTATCCTGCCTCGCTACTACCAAAGGCAGACAATGGACATATTTTTATGCATGGTGCAGAGGAGGGATAGAGCAATCTTTCATTCCTTTGCCTTCTCATTAACTCATCTGCATGAAATGCCACATGCTTGCTTGCCTGTTAATTCCTGGTCACCTACTATTACAAACTAGTATTTAAAACAAGCCTGGATTCTTGCTACTTTTTCAAAGTAGTGATCAATGACGGGTTAAGATGATAATGAAGGGTGAAGACCACAATCCTCTACTCTGGGGAAAACCCCGCTGAATTCAATGGAATCGCTCTGCTAAGCATACCTAACTCACCACAGGCGTTTGCAGTCTAAGCACAGGCAAATAGGGCCGGGAAGGAAAGGAAGAAGAAGAAGAGAGGAATAATAACTCAGCTTTTAGAGTGGAAATTGGGGGAGGTTTTTTTTCCTCCATATTTCCGGCTGGTGCTCTTGTTCCTCACTTGAATTCTGTGAGAGAAGCCCTATCCTTCCCTCCTTTGTAAGTGTGAAAGCAGCAGCGAGGCGCTAGGTATGCCGTCCTCCTCTAGACGTTGCGCTACACTTACCTTAGGAGTAACCCCACTGAAATGAGCAACACTTCCTTGAGAGGAGACGCGTCTGATACCTTTCAGCCTTTAGCCTCAAAGCTACGCTATGGTGAAGCCGCAGAGCCGCAAGAGGACGGAGCTGTCCTTCCTGGGAGCCCCTTCGTCCCTTGCCCCCAGGTTGGACTCGGGGATTGCAAGGGGATCCTGTCCAGCCCACCCCCCAAACCTCACCGGAGTCCCCCCAAAGCCAGGGGACTCGAGCTCGCCCCTCACCCAACTGAGAGAGGCGCTCACGAGCACAAACCACAACGTCTCGTCAGAATGACAGCTTCTCCCGTTTGGCCCTTTTTCAGGGTAGGTTTGGATGTCAAACCTGCGGCGGACGCATTTTTCAAGGATCGGGAGGAGCAGGGGGGAAAAAAAAAGAAAAATTAAACGCCTGCTGCTCTTTTCCTCCCCAAGACTCAGGGCCGGCAACGAGTCTCAGCAGCGTGCTCGGCTTTTGTGGCGGTGGCGGCGGCGGCGACGGGGAAGCCTCGCCTCAGGAAAGAGCCGAACCCGGAGCGCTGTCTAACGGGCAACGGAGCCGGCCGGGCGAGCGTGGGACCTGGCGCGCGCGGTCGCGCGAGGCGATCCAACGCTCTCTTCCCCCCCCCCCCACCCGGCCGCTCGCCTGCCTTCTACCGCATTTCCCAGCCGGGTGACCGCGGGTTGCTAGCGGGCGAGCGAGAGACCACGCCCCGCCTCCGCCTTCCAAGTTCCATTCCCTATATGGAGCTACAGAGGGAGCCGCCGGGCTCCGCCCACTTTGCCCCCCCCCGAGAACAACTCGCCTCAGGCGCGTCCCACGGAGGCTCGTCGTTGAGAATGCCATATGTGTGCGCGCGCACGCCAGACACCAAAGCGGGGGGGGGCGCGGCGGCATAGGGCGGAGTACAAGGAGAACAAACAGACAAATGGAGGGGGTGTGTATGGCCCCGTCCCTACCTGGACTCTGACCCGCCCACCCCAGGCCTCCAGCGCCTCCGCCTCCAACGTTTGAAGAACGCCGCCGTCGGCCCGTCACGGTTGACGCGCAGAGCACACGATCGCGGGGCCCGTTCTATTTATGTTTGTGCTCTCATTTTTGCATATCCCCGCCCAGCCCCTCCCCTCCCTCTGTGCGCTAGGCGGATGGGGCCCCGCCCCTTTTGCCCGAATATGGCCCTGGTGGGCGTGTCCTCCCGCTCCGGCAGGCGTTCGCAGGCTTCCTGGTGCCGTTTATAGAGTACAGGCACTTCCGCCGTCTGCTTAGAAGCGGCGCGATCATGGCGGAGCGCGGACAGCTCCCTCCCCCCGCCAAGCGCCTCTGCTGCAGA